AAGAGCTCAGATGTGAAATCTATTCTCAAACACCAAGCCTGTGTCGCTGCGAAAGTAGTTCAAACTCAATAACTGATTGCCAGCGTCAGTGCAATTGTACGAATATTATTCTCTAGATCAGTGAGGCCCGCGGTGCCAGGCAAGATAACGGCCTCAGCAAGAAAGCGAACAACTGCCAGTACATTCGATAAAACAGATGAGACTGGCGTATAGTGTCTGAGATAGGGAAGCCTACGGATCTAGGTCATCATCGGGAGGCCTTAACCTTTTTTTCCTTGGTAAATTATAGTTGTTGATGTAAAATGTACTTGTTGATGAAACATTTCGTATGCAGGTGAAAGTGGGCTACGCGGCCGACCCAATAAACTGCGACAACGCCTGGCTCGAAATAACTGCTATCCGCATAAACATTCCAACTGCAGATGGAGACAACGCCAAACTTCTGAAGGTAAGACTGCTACTTTTCTAAAATCTGTTCCCCTATTCTTGTTGGTTTTCCGTGCCACTTTCTGTGTCAGTGCGCACCGGGCGGTATTCCGTCTGCAACAAGTCAGTGGTCACCTAGTCGAACAACTGATTAAATGCTATTTTCTTATTTTTTTAGATACTCCCGATTGATGGTTGCACAGCAAGTTGGGTGGACGAAAACAACATGCCTAAAATGCGAAAGAGTCATTTGAAAGCACTCAACTATTGCAAAAGTTCACAACAATAAAGCCGAGCATCTTACCGCGTTTCCTTACAACTAGTCTTGTTTTCGCAGTTTTTTTTTCAATTAATATATGGATGGCAAACAACCGACAGACCGTAAACACACTGGACCGAGTAATTCAGATAATTCGAAGGAGAGGAGGTAAACCGGACGTACAACGTATGATGACTCAACGAGACGCAGAGAAATAAAAGGACTGATAACAACATCAAGCATAGAATCTCGTGCGTTAACTTAAGTCACATATGATAACTGAGTGTAACTTCAAGTCAGCGGCGATTAACTTAAGACAGAGAAGTGCCACGTCCTAGATCGCGATCTTCCAGAAGTAGGTTAGAAGAAAGCTAGCACGGCAAAGCCTCGGTTAAGGAATTAAATCAGTTCCAGCGCCGAACTCGTCATGTGAAACGCTCGTCTTCCGGAATGGATTTTCTCATTTAAAATAAGGGAAATAAAATCAATCCATTCCAGCCCCGAAGACGCCAATGTGAAGATTTTTAGTATACTTATACTTTTCATTGTATAAGGACGTCCCGAAAACAAGACAGCAAATTCTCATTGTCGGTTCACTGCTGGAGCCGTGCGTGGTTTAGCACCAGCTTTGTGAGGGCTCGTAGCCAATCAAACTGCATCAGTTCACTGATTGGCTGCAGGCGACCGAAGATTTACGCCCAGGAAGCAAGATTCAACGGCAGACACGGGCCCACACAGGCACTGATAACTTCTTATCTGAGCAGAATCTCTTCAATCGAAACAAATTTTCGGCGAGTAGCTGGCTCGGTACCTGAAATGCTCGTAGATGGAGCTGCGCATCACCCGAGGTTCCTCAGTAAATTTATCGGAAGCACAACGTACAGCCAAAGTAGGCTTGGAAAATATTTTTTCAAACATGCTCAACCAAAAAAGTAAAAGACGGAAACTACGTATTGCACAACTTCAAACATCTTAATACCATAGGAAGCGCTACAGTAATCTCTGCCTATCATTATAAAATGTATGCCAATTGTGTAAAGTTTAGAAGCTCATAAAGCAGAACCTGTGGCGGAACATCTCAAGAACCCTAATCATAAAGCAACCAATAAGGAACTATAGGCCACCGAATAACTCTAAATAATCGTCTACTGAATCTTCCAAGACCTCTAATGAATGATGGATCACCTAATAGAAATGTAACCCCTTTAGATTCGAGTCACCTTCTATACATACTTATGACTGTAAACAAAATTCAGAACTGGAACCAGAGTCAATTACGCACTCCAGGATGCACTAAAATTGTTCCTTTAGACTGAGTTAACTTCACTAGAAGTAAATGACTACGTTTTAAGGCCGTGTTTGGAGTTGGCCTGCAGAAAAAGCATGATAAAGCAGCTATGGTTGTACAGACGGACCTTAGTCAAAATCAACGAGGTAGCAGATCTGCCGGACATAGAAGGCGTAGATACTGACTACCTGGTTAGAAATATATCTCGGAAGGTAGAATTTATGAATAGTTGTGGAGTGCATATAAGAACTAATAATGAACAAAAGGCGCATCATATCCAGTCACTCGCCAAACATGGTTTAATCGTCCTGTTCGACCTCAGCTCTGCTAGCGCTTACGAACGACGGCGGATGGCAGACTGGGAAACGAAAATGTAGTAAATGGCTTAATCTACATTTTATAGGATCGTTGGGGTCCCCTGGGAAGGTTATCCACACGCTGATGAGTTGTGAAAAGCTGGGGTTTAAGTTCGAAGAGGGCGAGCAGTTGAGGAGATCAAAAAGAACAGCTTTAGGCGCTTGTATACTAGAAGTTTAACTGCATAAACAGTAAATGACAAAGGTCGATAATATCTGAAAAATTAAACTGAACAAGCTGTACAATTAGATAAGCTTATGACGGCGAATCTTGTATGGGTAGCGGAAGAACCTGTTCAGTGCGTAGAGGAAAGGGCCCATCTATCTTATTATATCAAAAGATGAGAAGGTTAGAGCAGTAATTGAACGTTCTTTGTTAATGTCACATTTTTGAATGCGCGACTTCGGGCTTCCGGTAGTTTTGAGCCAGTTTTTACTAGAAAAATAGGTTGAAGGCATTCAACTTACAAAACGTCCATTTTTGCATCGGGACCTTGTGCAACCCCAACTACCGACCCCGTAGATGTATTTTTCACCCATCCAACAATATTATTTTCGCGTGCAGTTGCAGCTGTATACTATAGGGTTATTTCGTTAAAAAAATGTTGAGAGCGCCCACTTTTCGGAAAAATACGCCTAACAAGGAATTATACTAATTATTTTCTACCTTGTACTTTTCCAAAGACTTCGAACTCGAACGACTTCAAAGAAGCAGACGCGGCTGCCATAACTACGGCCACCAAAAAAGGCGCCAGCTCGACCCCCGTGACCAGCATATTTAAATGTAACTAGCTCAGGTTGTGGAAATAAATATTATTCCAAATCGTCTTTGATGCTTTGAACATCTATTTTGACGATTTTGCTTTCAGTGGGTCACATGCGAGACCAAATTCTCTGGAATCATGTTTCATTCATAGAATGTTGGGAACTGATCTATGGACACTCATTCTCTGCCGCCATCAGACGTATGGAAGTTTTCCGGTCAGAAAAATCCCCACGCTAAGACAGGGACACTCCGGCGAAGGGTATAAATCACGATTCAAATAAGTCATCATGTTTTTTCTTCAACCCGAAAAATGTGTCGGCAGCATCAACATCGGGGGCAAGGTCATCCCATGCTTTTACGGCGCACCTTGTGAGACGATAGACGTGCGGAAGGCCATTTGTCCGCTGTACCACTAGCTAGAAGCAATTTCTGTGCGTAAGCATACCGATGACTAGCTGAAATGCCGTGCGAGCTCCGGTATATCACCGCAAACGATCACTTTATACGCCATGATTTCGTCGCCTCCGGAACGTCAAACTTCGAGGGTAAACAACTGTAGCGTTTTACAGAGCTCCGGATATGGCAGCCCCCGCAATTCATGTACAATTCTTGACCCCAACCGTGGTACATATTCGATATCTGCCATCTCGTCCTTCGTACACGGGAACCAATCTTGCGGTCAATATTGAATGGTCGGGTGGATGAACGTGACCATGAGCTTAGGGAACATCTGCTTGGACCAGTAAGTGAAAGCTCCTTTGAACATCCAGAGTGGCGCCAGACCCTACCAAAGTTGCTTGTTGCTGTTAGAATGACCGAGAACTTCATCCAGGCAGACAGAGACATCTTGTGGTCACGCTGGATCAAGGCGCGCGAACGGGCCAGTCCGGCGCATACAGAACGGACCAAGTCACACGACCTTCAAAGGGTGGACATTAGGCCAGGACAAAGGAGGGACGCGAAGCGAGACTGCCCAGGAGCCGAGTTGCTGCTATCA